GCTTAAATTGATCTCTCGAGCTAGTGGCTGCGATTTTTTTCGGAGGAGGTACAGGGTTTTGGAGTTTTTGTGAGGAGTTCTTCACTTTTTCAGCCGGTTCTCCGGCTGCCCAGATTTGTAACAGGTGGCAAGTGCATTAGCCGTCTGCATCCTCCACCGGAGGTCGAACAGGACGCGATCGCTCGATCCTTCCCGTGAATCTCTCAACTCATCTCTGATTTGGCAGAAGGCCGTACAGTGCCGTTGAGTTTTGTTAAGTGCAGTAGAGTGCCGGAGATTTGCCGGAGAGTGCCGCAGAGTGCCGCAGAGTTGCCGGAGAGTGCCGGGGGGTTGCAGTAAAGTGCCGGAGAGTTGCCGCAGAGTGCCGGAGAGTGCCGCAGAGTGTCGGAGAGTGCCAGACAGTGCCGCATAGTTGCCGCAGAGTGCCGCAGAGTGCAGGAGAGCGCCGGAGAGTGCCGGAGAGTGCTGGAGAGTAGCCGCAGAGTGCCGTAGAGTGCCGGAGAGTGCCGGAAAGATACCGCAAAGTGCCGGAGAGTGCCGGATAGATGCCGGAGAGGGCCGGAGAGTTGCCGCAACGTGCCGGAGAGCGCCGTAGAGCGCCGGAGAGTGCCGGAGAGTGCGGGAGAGTGCCGGAGAGTTGCCGCAGAGTGCCGCAGAGTGCCGGAGAGTGCCGGAGAGTTGCACTATAATTAGAGTGCTCTAATTATAGTGCTGTAAGGCACTCTAATGCACTCTAATGCAATATAATGCTCTCTACGGCACTCTGCGGAATTCTACGGCACTCTACGGCACTCTATGGCACTCTACGGCACTCTATGGCACTCTATGGCACTCTACGGCACTCTGTGACACTCTACGGCACTCCACGGCACTCTGGGGCACTCTAGGGCACTCTACGGCACTCTACGGCACTCTACGGCACTCTAGGGCACTCTAGGGCACTCTAGGGCACTCTTGGACACTCAAGGGCACTTCACGGCACTCTAGGGCACTCTGGGGCACTCTCCGGCACTCTCCGGCACTCTCCGGCGCTCGCCAGCACTCTTGGGCAACTCTGCGGCATTCTCCGGCACTCTCCGGCGCTTTCCGGCACTCTCCGGCACTCTGCGGCACTCTGCGGCAACTATCCGGCACTCTCCGGCACTCTGCGCCACTCTCCGACACTCTCCGGCGCTCCCCGGCACTCTCCAGCACTCTCCGGCACTCTACAGCATTTAACAACACTCAACGGCACTGTACGGCCTTCGATAAGGCTCGGAAACGCTTGAAAAACGCGCGAAAACGATTGACAACACTCGATAACGCTTGAAAACGCTCGAAACCGCTCTGAAAATGATTAAGAAACTCTCAAAAACGGTCGAAAAACGCTTGATAACGCTTGAAAACGCTCGAAAACGCTCGAAAACGCTCGAAAAACGCTCGAAAACGGTCTAAAAACGCTCGATAACGATCGAAAACACTAGAATATCATTCGATAACACTCGAAAACGCTCTGAAAATGCGTGAGAACGCTCGAAAACGCTCTGAAAATGATCGATAACGCTAGTACGGAAATGTAAAAATCATACGCGAAATGCTTATATCCGCAGTTAGGTAAGACTCGAGAGGATTTTTCGCAGTATTTGACTGTCACACATACTCGTCGAGTGTAGCGCCAAATGCACACATACTCAACGTCTCTACCCGTAGCTTGGCGCTTGCTGGCTGGGACGCGCAAAGATTTCTAGGAGCGATCGCACTCACGCAGATTCGCTGCATGACAGTTCCGTACGCGACACCGACGCGTGCCCCAAAGCTCCGCATCACGTCGACTTCGAGGCAACAATGTACTTAATAGCAGTAGATAAGTAGATAAAGTCAAATGGAGCGTCACGAGTGTTCTTCCCTTAGCATCAAAAGCGAGCAGCGTTGGTAAGCGTAGGTAAGCCACCACCGTCAACTGCCGCATGGTATTACCATCACGAGTACGTGAGCCGCCAACGGCGACTGGTAGATGGTACCGCCATCGCGTGTGCGCGAGCTCCTATCAGAAATTCGTTGCGCCCCCTTGGGGGAAAAAAACGGTGAAAGCTAACGTATGAAACCAGAGGGCAGCACAGGATGCGATCGCACGATCCTGCCCGTGAGCAATCTCCCAACTCATTTCTGATCATAAGCGACTACCCCCAAACAATGTAGCAGAAAGATCCGTTTCTTTAAGCTCCCATGATAACACTTGATCTTCTTTACCTACGGATAACAACCTTCCCTTACCGTTTGTGGACGTTATCAGCGTTGATAATATTAGCGTCCGTACCGACGTTCGCTATTGTACTTTACTTTAGTCGATAATCCCGGCCGGTAAAGCAAATTGTTCCGATAGGTACGATGGTAACATAACCTACGGCATGATGTTCCCGACGGAGCTGGTTCGCACAACGGATTTTTCGAGCGTTTTATAAACGATTCAAAAATGTTCACCTCATATAAGCCTCATAAAAATGGCACGCGTGGATTTGAAGTATATACAAATTTGAATAGTAATGTATTAATGCGATTAGTTTTGCCTTAGCCTAAAACGTAGACACACGTCCGTTTTTATAGGATCGAGGTCTAAATAAGCCTCTTCGAGGTCCTCCCATCTTAGAAACACCATTTTATAGAAATTATTAACATAAGTTGTAACATTAAATCCTATATACATGTTCAAGTTTTCACTCTATATGAATGCAATGAACTCACATTTCTAATATAATTCACATTTGATTTTACTTATACTCACATCTTTTATCAGAAACCATTTGCAGGTCTTCAGGTCTAACTTGTATAAAACGGAATAACCATTCGAAGATTTGTCAAATTTCGATTAAATCGAAACGTTCCGAGGACTTCGAGGTCTTAATGCGAAATCTAGATCTTGAGGTGATTTGTTAACGATAAGTGAGCATGATATTTCTGTCGGCAAACTGATCGATAGAATTTAGAGGTTCAACCGAGATCGATAATTTCGACTCGGGCTATTTCTCATATACTCACATGATGTCGCCGAGTTTAAGCTTGGTGTGAACCACGGCGCAGCTTTTGTGGTCGCCGGTGGTGACGGCCGTGCGACGCTTGACGTACCGCGCAACGTTGGATGGCAACGCCGCTCCGTCCGGCCCGATCCCTGGGGCCCCGGGGGCCCCGGGCCCCGAGGGGCCCCCATACGGTGCGAGGCCCGCACCCCCACGCACCAGCGGGCTGCTGCCGCGCCGACGTGTAGACACGTGCCGGCCTCCCACGCCGCCCAACATCCTGCACAACCGGATATTAACAATTATACATTATCAACGATACATTAAGATACTAGTCATTTACGGAATGGACAAAATGAGGCAGCTGCCGGACATTTTATGAATAGAAGAAGTGAAAGAAAAAAAAAGAAATGGGAAAACGTCCTGACGCACCCTCTACAGACCACGTCAAGTTCTGCGATCGATTGCTTACTTTCGCCTGTTTTAAATTGTAATTCGAAGAAATTCAGACCTATTTCTTTTTAGTAACTCATAAAATGCAGGGCAATTGCATTTTTTCAGGGTATCACGTTATAAGGTGTTTATCATCCTAGGAGGTTAGTATTATCTCGGCTATATTGCGATAACTTGGAAGTAGACGTTGTTTTTCCGGATCAACGTTGCCGTTTTAACGAATACAAAGACGTCGAAAATTGAAGACATAAAGGTACGGTCAAATTTCTACGATGGTATTGACTTTACGTCATTTTGAAAGGATGTTAGTTTGTGATTTTTTAATTTTTAGCCACGAACGCCGTTGTTAAATGGGTCGTACGTTGTCGTTTGATAAGAATGCCAGGTACTTGGGCTTATTCGCCGTCTTTGCGGAGCGACCCTGATAGCGGCAATTATACGGACGTGCTCTGACGTCGGCGTCCTTTCTGTTTTTGCATAATCGCGTCGAAAGAGCCTGTCGACGCCTCAAAGGAAACGGGACGCTTTATGGAATCGATATCGGGGGAGGCACCGTAAACTGTAAGGCCGGAAGGTGCAATCGCGAAGCGCCGGGGGAGGAATCACGCGAGTCCGCTTAGGGCCGAGGAGGCGCAGCCGTTTCCCGTGGGACATCCCGACAGTCTTCCTTTATCGCCCTCTGG